TGGACTAATGTAACTATCATAGCTGTAACCCCGCTGACATGCGTGGATACCCCAAAAAGATACTGACAAGTATTTGATTCCATGGCGGGCGTCAGACAGGCTTACAACAAGTACCATCTCAATCTCACAACTCAACATGGGCGTGGCCATTTTGAATGCCATTGCGCAGAACCGGAAATCCCGTGCTGGGGTTTTGTAAGAATAGACAGAAATGACTCAATTGTTGTTTTAAGTTTAATTGATCATCAATAAGTATGGGGACACTTATTTTCACAATGGCACACGTAAAGTATCAGTCTGGTGCCCGATGACATATTTCTAGCCCTGGGCACACTTCTGCTGTCTGGACAGACTCAGTGTCCACTAGACCACCTGTCGAAAGTTGTGTGTAGTTTGTCGTGTTTATATAGTAACTCCACAAGCAGGCTAAGTGTTTTGTTTTTCTTTGTAGAAACACCGGTAGAACTCGTTAAGTCAGGAAACGACGCTCTTGTATAATGTGAAAAACCCCATGCGACCTGTCGTGCTTGTTGGTGTCCCCCGCCGTGGTACTGCTGGATAATTGCTAAAGGCGACGTAAAACTAAACTAACTCACTCACTCACTCCAGCTTGTATATTCTAGGTATTTATCTAAAGTACACTCAGAACAATTGTCAGTTTTTTTCTCGAAGGTAGTAAGTAAATGCGTAATTATTTAGCTAAACATTATGATTAATTGTTCAAAGTAAAGAATGTTTTCGAGGAGGACATACAAGAGTATAGTAATTAGAGCTGGCCTATACTCCGCTGCGTGTACTGTCATGCTGATGTATCATTACACCAAGTGGTTCCGCCCTTCCTTGATACGCCCGCCACTCGATGATATTGTTGTTACAACTGCAGTAGGATCCCAGTCGAGGAATCAGGATGGGCAAACTGACACCAGAGGGCGTGGCAATGAGTCACGCTTCCTCATGGTACATGTATGACATGCTTCGTCTATTTCTGGAAATATATTTTTATACCGGTTCTTGTGAAAATAATGTTAGATTAGATTTTGGAGCATTTTATTAGGCATAGCCATAACTGTATCCCCGGATTCCTGGCCTAGCGACTGAATACTATTAGGCAAGGTCCAGCCACTTCACCACTCAATCTGTGTTCCAGTCTCGCCCGCTTACATGAGGACATTAACTTTGTGCATAATTCAGAAGAATATCTGATGAGAAAAGTCTTCAAAAGCAGCACCAGCAAAACGTCCTCACAGTTGGCAATGCTTGTTAGTAAAGCCACTCGTTTCTGTTTTTCTGTTCTCGAGCGTTCAAACACACTTCCAAGCTTGGGTGGGGTGTGTTTCTGACATAGTCAAGTCGGCTTTCTAGGAACTTTTTGCGAACTGAAGTCAGCTAAAACACCGGTCTGGGCGGACGTCTCAGGTTGCTGTCGCAGGGAGAACATTTAAAAAATACCGTTGTGTTTTACTATGGTTTTAAGGGGCCTTGTTTTTACGAAGAATAACGTTCTAGAAGAGAAGTGACTTTTTAAAGATATGTGTGGCCCAGGGATGTTCTATTGAGAGTCCCCGAGGTTTCAGGAAGAGACACTTATGACGAGGATGGGGGTGTAGTCAGGAGGGGGGGGGGAGAGAGATTAAGATATTCAATCACGTTATCAACAGGCTTCAGTACATATCCAATCCGAACTAAACACCCCATGGTTTCACACTATACATCCAGTTCCGACACCCACTGAACATACGATCCCATTCCCAAAACTTTTCAATAAACATCCAAATCCTGATTCCACCCACGGCTGGCAATACGGGCATAGTGCCCCGTGAAGGGGAATCGATACTAAGGGCCTGGCGGTGTGCCTGGTATGGGAAGCGTGATTAATTCTCTCACCAAACACATGGCTCATAGCACGTGTGGCTATTGTCATAGATCAGAAACCAATCTGGCGTAACAGTCACAGTATCGATGTGTGTTGGCTTCGCTGGGCAGACGTCATCACTGGATCTAACTTTCTGTATTTGGGTTACACTTTCTCAGTAAAGTACAAAGTTCTAGTACTTTTGTTAGGTTTAGTCCCGTCCGGGATTCTAACCCTCACTCTCAGTGTCACCCACCTTATCGCCAGTACACAAAGTCAGCTACCGCAGTCTTAAACCCAACAAAAGTTACAGAATCTGTACTTTACTGAGAAAGGCTAATCCCACAACGTATGTTACATTGGCCCCTTTCTTTAATGACATTGTGTAGGGGCGCGGTGGGCGAGCTGGCTAAGGCGGAAGGCCAGTCAGGGGGTGGAAATAACCCATTGCCCGACGTCCGAGTCCAGTGTTTTTTTTCTGTCGGGCAAGCAAATTTGTATATCACACTGTACCGGTGTCAAGTTGACTTTCCAATGTTAATTATGTTGTTTATTTTAAAAAATCAGCAAGAAAACGGTCAGTATAGTGGGAATATTATCAGGGCAAGTGACTTTACATTTGCCACTGTACCGGAGTACACTATCAGTTTTAAAGTTATTTCCACCCCTGCTAGTGATCAAGCGATGTTGAGGTGTCGGGATCGAGCCCACCTGTGACCGGGTGTAAAAAACCTTGGAGTCAACTTTGTGTGCAGACCCTTTCAGTGTTGTCACAACCCCTAGTGTACAGTACACAACCCTGTGCACTTTAAAGAACCCACGAATCCGTTGGTATTTGACAGGATGGTGGCCACATGAATATGTGCAAACACCTAGTTGCGGGTACAGTTATGTGTCCCAGTCCACCCAGCTGTGAATGGATACCTCGTTAGGATGAGAAAGCCACAATAACTCGGTGCGCCTAGTGGCTGCAAGAGTTGTATACTCCCCAGGGAGTTGAGATTGATAATGCGATGTGCCGTTGAGATTTACATCCAGTGATCGAGGGAATACATACCAGCGTCTTGAGCATGCACTAGTTGCCTGGATATGTGCGCTATATAAATATCCTATAATACAAAATATCCTTTTCAATAATGAATAAAAAAAACCTGCTAAAAACGGCCATTGTATATATCATAAGCCTGTTTCTTGGGATCACTATTTGGGGCGGTGGGGTAGCCTAATGGTTAAAGCGTTGGCTCGTCACGCCGAAGATCCGGGTTCGAATCCCCACATGGGCACAATGTGTGAAGCCAATTTCTGGTGTCCCCCGCCGTGATGTTGCTGGAAAATTGCTAAAAGTGGGGTAAAACCAAACTCAGTCAGTCAGTCAGTGGGATCACTATGTACTTGTGATGGTATTTTCTGCCGCACCAGCACAAGGCAACTTGTGTTTTTTGTCCATGGGTTGTCCCACCACAGTATGGAGTAGCGTTCCCTGACCATGCACACAGCCTCCTACAGTCTGTAACCGAGGTTTCCCAGCAGAACATGTGTGTTGGACCCATGCATATGTTAGTCTTTAATTTTAAAATCAGGATTTGTCCTGGTTTGACAAGATTTGATTGTATGTTATCAGTGTTGTGTTACTGAATTAAACGACGATGTTATTATGTGGCGATCACACTTCACATTCAAGCGTAATATAGACTTGTTTACTGTCATGTATTACGATATTCCCTCTCAACATTTGCAGCGTTCGTGAGTGTATGCCAATGGTAAAGTCGCTTCAGTTTTCAGAAAGTGTCTCTTCCTTAGTACTTGCATACAGTGCAAGATCGGAGTGACAGTATTAAAGGGGAGGGGAGATCTCTACTGACACCTGTGGTTTCTCTGTTTCAGACTACGTGCGAGCTCCTACTGACACCTGTGGTTTCTCTGTTTCAGACTACGTGCGAGCTACCTTCAGACACGTGTGGTCTCTGTTTCAGACTACGTGCGAGCTTCCACTGACACCTGTGGTCTCTCTGTTTTAGAATACGTGCGAGCTTCCTACTGACACCTGTGGTCTCTGTTTCAGACTACGTGCGAGCTTCCTACTGACACCTGTGGTCTCTCTGTTTCAGACTACGTGCGAGCTTCCTACTGACACCTGTGGTCTCTGTTTCAGACTACGTGCGAGCTTCCACTGACACCTGTGGTCTCTCTGTTTTAGAATACGTGCGAGCTTCCTACTGACACCTGTTGTCTCTCTGTTTCAGACTATGTGCGAGCTATCTTCAGACACATGTGGTTTCTCTGTTTCAGACTACGTGCGAGCTTCCTACTGACACCTGTGGTCTCTGTTTCAGACTACGTGCGAGCTTCCTACTGACACCTGTGGTCTCTGTTTCAGACAATGTGCGAGCTTCCTACTGACACCTGTGGTCTCTGTTTCAGACTACGTGCGAGCTTCCTACCGACACCTGTTGTCTCTCTGTTTCAGACTACGTGCGAGCTATCTTCAGACACATGTGGTTTCTCTGTTTCAGACTACGTGCGAGCTTCCTACTGACACCTGTGGTCTCTGTTTCAGACTACCTGCGAGCTTCCTACTGACACCTGTTGTCTCTCTGTTTCAGACTACGTGCGAGCTTCCTACTGACACCTGTGGTCTCTGTTTCAGACTACGTGCGAGCTATCTTCAGACACATGTGGTTTCTCTGTTTCAGACTACGTGCGAGCTTCCTACTGACACCTGTTGTCTCTCTGTTTCAGACTACGTGCGAGCTTCCTACTGACACCTGTGGTCTCTGTTTCAGACTACGTGCGAGCTTCCTACCGACACCTGTTGTCTCTCTGTTTCAGACTACGTGCGAGCTATCTTCAGACACATGTGGTTTCTGTTTCAGACTACGTGCGAGCTATCTTCAGACACATGTGGTTTCTGTTTCAGACTACGTGCGAGCTATCTTCAGACACGTGTGGTTTCTCTGTTTCAGACTACGTGCGAGCTTCCTACTGACACCTGTTGTCTCTCTGTTTCAGACAACGTGCGAGCTTCCTACTGACACCTGTTGTCTCTCTGTTTCAGACTAACGTGCGAGCTTCCTACTGACACCTGTGGTCTCTCTGTTTCAGACTACGTGCGAGCTTCCTACTGACACCTGTGGTCTCTCTGTTTCAGACTACGTGCGAGCTACCCAGGCCTTGGAGTGTATTGGTTTCATCTTTGCCGTGGTGGCGTTCATTGTGCTGGTGCTGTACCTCCTCGTGGACAGCTGTCGGCGCAGGAACGCCCTCATTGCCTTCCTGGTCTGCGTGTTTGCTGCAGGTTAGTCTTTGAACGACGGAGTGAATGAGTCAATGAATGGGTGGGTGAGTGAATAAGTGAGGGTGTCAGTGAGTGAGTGGATGAGAAGGGGTATGCTAGCGAGTGAGTTAGTGGGTGAATGAGTAGATGCGTGAGAGAGTGGGTGAGTGAGTGAATGGGTGGATTGGTGAGTAAGAGGAGACGGATGGGTGGGTTAGTGAGGCTGCAGGCAGCAGAAGACTTTAGACACATCATCTCTGATTTGCCTTCAGACTGAAAGTGAGAGCTTTCACATCTTGACCAGCATTGTTATGTGAAGCGGAAACGATTCGTCCATGGTGCTTGGTGCCTGCTGACTATGAAGATATCACAAGCGTATAATGCACGTGTATGGTTCTGGGACCAGTATTTATCTGTAGAGACGGATGCTGGATCAATGCGTAATACCGACTCCGTCTGTAACAAATAACAACCCTCTCTAGACAATGTCGATAGGTCTGATGATTCAGATTATGGATTATTAGCTGACCAAATATAATCTCACTTTCTGTAATATTCTATCCTGTATGTATCCCTAGTTATAGTAGTTTGGGACGTAAGTGTTATTCCAGACATGAACGGTCTGAACGAAACTGGAGTTTATGCTATGCTGCGCCACACTGTGGGCTGCGGTCGGATTGCGAGACCATGTTGCTTCTCTGTATGCAAATGTAAAACTGGTGGCCGGTTGTGTTTCAGTGTTCTTCATCATTGTCGGTGTTGCCGTGTTCGCCACCAAGCATGGCGACCTTTACCGTGTCGGCTGGTCCATGGGCTTCGCCATCGTTGGCACCATCTTCATGTTCGTCTCCGGCATCATGGGCATCCTGCAATTGACTTGCCGGTAGTTTGGTCACGTGATAGACATTCTAACCAATCAGGGCTCGGGGACATGCTGTGGCGGTCACAGGACGGGACTGATGGTTTGCTCGCTCATGTCATTTGCTTTGACGGTGTACTCAGAAGCAAGGAGAGGAAAGTGCTCTTATAACATTTTTCCGTCAGTCACTATTTTACTATATTTATACTTTTTTCTGTTTTTCTATTGAATTTTATCTTTGTAGGCAACTTTTAATATGCGTTTTTTATCCAAAGATATGAAGTGAACATTCTATATTTTGCCAACTGAAAAAAAAACATTGTGGAGGTGAACGCGGGTACAATTTGAACCATGTTATTCCTCAAAGCATATGTGACCGTGAAGCAAAACTCACTGATTCATGTGTTTGAGTTTCAGGTCATTTGTTCACTGGTCTCGCCCCATGGTAAAAGTGACCTTTGGTATGGATAAATGTTATTCATTCAACGACAAATACTGAAGGCCTCGGGTTTGGGATTGTCTAAAGGAGGGCCCAGAACACGTTAGGTCCGAGAGTAATGCTAGAAATGGATTGCGGTATAATAAAATGAAACATGTGTTTCTGGGAAGTATATGGGGTGTGATGAACCGCAGGTCTTGTATTTATACTTAAATATTAAACAATCTTACGTCAGATTCGTTACAACAAAGACTATTATATTTTGTGAAGATTTTCAAAAGCGCACACATTTTCAAATATAAGTCGGAATATTATTAAATGGATTTTTAAAGCTATCATGATTCATTAATGTTTTGAAAATAGATCTGGTGTGATTTCAAAAACCAACGCGAATACAATGGTATCAATTTTCAAAAGCGCACACATTATCATAGATAAGTTGGAATATTATAAAATGGATTTTAAAATTATCAGGATTCATTGACGTTTTGAAAATAGATCTGGTGTGATTTCAAAAACCAACGCGAATACAATGGTATTAATTTTCAAAAGCGTACACATTATCATAGATAAGTTGGAATATTATAAAATGGATTTTAAAATTATCAGGATTCATTGACGTTTTGAAAATAGATCTGGTGTGATTTCAGTATTCAACGCGAATTAAATATTCACTTGTCTGGGGGCACGGTGGCCCTCGTCGTCCAAGAAACCATAATTCACTGTTCAGAGTTGCGTCCCTTTGGCACACCGGAAACCTATTCTTGTGGGTTCGAATCCCAGTTCGCAACGACTATGTTTCTAAGTGTATCGGCATCAGACCAGTGCCCGTGGGTTTCACTAAAGACATAAATGTCAGAGACCGGCATGGCGTCCCACAGTAAACTTACGCGCAGTTTATAACTGGAATACCGTCCACATTACTGTAGCGGGAAGACAACTGAAGGACATTGACAAAGACCGTTAACATAGTCATGTTAATTCTCTGTGCCTGTATTTAGGGTTACAACTAGTCTTAACACCAGATGTGCTTTAAGGCAGTAACATGTTGACTAGTTGAGACTATTTCTGTTTGTTATAATTATGTACACATTTTCACCGTTCTTCTTGAAAAACTTTTGTATTTTGTATTGTTATATCAGGATGTAAGTTTTTTCCGTTATATCGAGCCTGCTTGTATACTTTGCAATGGGTTTTGTTCTTCTATACATTTACAACTTGTTATACTCTGTCACTATACAAGGGCTGTCTCTATTCGTGATCTCGGTTCTAGCGGTTATTATTCTGTACTAGACGTTGCTAGTACTAGACGTTGTTAATACTAGACGTTGTTAGTACTAGACGTCAGTACTAGACGTTGTCAGTACTAGACGTTGCTAGTACTAGACGTTGTCAGTACTAGACGTTGTAAGTACTAGACGTTGCTAGTACTAGACGTTGTCAGTACTAGACGTTGCTAGTACTAGACGTTGTTAGTACTAGACGTCAGTACTAGACGTCAGTTCTAAACGTTGTCAGTACTAGACGTTTTCAGTTCTAAACGTTGTCAGTACTAGACGTTTTAAGTACTAGACGTTGCTAGTACTAGACGTTGTCAGTACTAGACGTTGCTAGTGCTAGACGTTGTTAGTGCTAGACGTTGTCAGTACTAGACATCAGTACTAGACGTTGTCAGTACTAGACGTTGCCAGTGCTAGACGTTGTCAGTACTAGACGTTGTCAGTACTAGACGTTGTCAGTACTAGACGTTGCTAGTACTAGACGTCAGTACTAGACGTTGCTAGTACTAGACGTTGTCAGTACTAGACGTTGTCAGTCAACGCAGATGTACAATTTGAAGTCGGCACTTGTCTCTCACCTTGCCATAGTTATTTAGATGTGGTGTTAATTAATAGCAACTGCTGTCCTAACCTTTGTGAGTTGAATAAATGTCTTTTGTAATAGTCAGCAATCGTGGTTATAGTTTGTGCTCATCCCACTTAAGGTCAGGCGAGTGCGTGGCGAGTGGTCAGTCTATCGTTTCACATTTCCGACATCTGCCCAAACCTACAAAGCTTATGGAGATGAGAATTGTAATAAAGATGTATCTCCAAACCGTGCGTCCATATTTGAAATACCAGTTTTGCCTAACACTCTGTGACTTTTCCGTATGTATGATTATGACACTGATGTTCAGCAAGTGTCAGGCCACAGACTAATTTATTATCTCTGTTTCACAATCCTTTGCGCCATAAGGTTGAAGCGACAACACGTTATATTGTTTTATCATAGGTCAGGTTAGCTTCAGAGCCTTGCGGTTCTCTGTTTGGGGATTTTAATATACCAAGCATATGAACAATGTAAAGAAAGCTGTAACCCCTCTGTGGTCTTGATGCAAATTGAGTAAGCTAACCCATGTGATTATGTAAACCGACCAACAATAGTGAATGCTGACCCCACGTCCAGTACCATCAACACCCCAACAATCAACACATGAGCGCTGACGTGCATATATAACCAACTAGCAACACCTGAGCGCTGATCCCACGTGCATATATAGCCAACTAACAATACCTGAGCGCTGATCCCACGTGCATGTATAGCCAACCATCAACACCTGAGAGCTGATCCCACGTGGCTATATAGCCAACTAGCAATACCTGAGCCAACTAGCAATACCTGAGCCAACTAGCAACACCTGAGCGCTGATCCCACGTGCATATATAGCCAACTAGCAATACCTGAGCGCTGATCCCACGTGCATGTATAGCCAACCATCAACACCTGAGAGCTGATCCCACGTGGCTATATAGCCAACTAGCAATACCTGAGCCAACTAGCAATACCTGAGCCAACTAGCAATACCTGAGCGCTGATCCCACGTGCATATATAGCCAACTATCAATACCTGAGCCAACTAGCAATACCTGAGCGTAGATCTCACGTGCATATAAACCAACCATCAACACCTGAGCACTGATTCCACGTGCATATATAGCCACCTAGCATTACCTGAGAGCTGATCCCACGTGCATATATAACCAACTAGCAATACCTGAGCGCTGATCCCACGTGCATATATAGCCAACCATCAACACCTGAGCGCTGATCCCACGTGCATATATAGCCAACTAGCAATACCTGAGCCAACTAGCAATACCTGAGCGCTGATCCCACGTGCATATATAGCCAACTAGCAATAGCTGAGCGCTGATCCCACGTGCATATATAGCCAACTAGCAATACCTGAGCGCTGATCCCACGTGCATATATAGCCAACCAATCCAACTAGCAATACCTGAGCGCTGATCCCACGTGCATATATAGCCAACCATCAATACCTGAGCGCTGATCCCACGTGCATATATAGCCAACTAGCAATACCTGAGCGCTGATCCCACGTGCATATATAGCCAACCATCAACACCTGAGCGCTGCCCAGGTGATCCCATCGTGCATATATATAGCCAACCATCAACACCTGAGCGCTGATCCCACGTGCATATATAGCCAACTAGCAATACCTGAGAGATGATCCCACGTGCATATATAGCCAACCATCAACACCTGAGCGCTGATCCCACGTGCATATATAGCCAACTACCAATACCTGAGCCAACTAGCAATACCTGAGCGCAGATCTCACGTGCATATAAAACCAACCATCAATACCTGAGCGCTGATCCCACGTGCATATAAAACCAACTACCAATACCTGAGCGCAAATCTCACGTGCATATAAACCAACCATCAACACCTGAGCGCTGATCCCACGTGCATATAAAACCAACTAGCAATACCTGAGCGCAGATCTCACGTGCATATAAAACCAACCATCAATACCTGAGCGCTGATCCCACGTGCATATAAAACCAACTACCAATACCTGAGCGCAAATCTCACGTGCATATAAAACCAGCAATACCTGAGCACTGATTCCACGTGCATATAAAACAACTCGGAATACCTGAGCGCAGATCACACGTGCATATAAACCAACCATCAACACCTGAGAGCTGATCCAACGTGCATATATAGCCAACTAGCAATACCTGAGCGCAGATATCACGCGCATATAAAACCAACCATCAATACCTGAGCGCTGATCCCACGTGCATATAAAGCCAACTCGGAAGACCTGAGCGCTGATCCCACGTGCAAATATAACCAGTCAGAAATACCTGAGCGCTGATCCCACGTGCAAATATAACCAGCCATCAATACGTGAGCGCTGATCCCACGTCATAAGACGGTACACACGCGTCACGACCTTCACGTTCACTGGGAAAACACCGTGAAATTCAATCACTTTTCACATGGAAGTCACAGAATTAACATCGTGTACGTTAAATACATGCCAGTGTCAACAGGAAACAGCATCGCGTGATCAGACCAAAGAGGGAAAAGATATCAACCTACATTGGGAATAAGTCAGCAAACTGTCAGACAAGTAAACGATGTAACCAAACATCTGTGCACACCAACGGATATACGGTACATGCTTGTACCTGCCTCAGTACCATGGCGAAGGTGCCGCCCATCTTCAGTGCGGTCAAGGGGACATAACTCTGCATGCCCTCCAGCACTACTCATCGTGTAAAGACTGATATATCTTCTCTCTGATATGAAAATTATACTCAAAGAAAACAGTTGCCAAGCTATCTTAATGAAGTATGATCAAATAGACGGAGCAGATTTTCATTTTCAGACCTAAACCGACAGTATTCTACATTTGCCAAACACCATACGCTTGCGTTTTCTGTGTAGACGATCTGTGTTTCAGATCCCCGTGGTTTCCATGCCGACGTTAATCATATCAGTCACGTTCTGTCCTGATGTGAAATCCGGCACGTGAATGAGATGTTAAATAGTTTGTCATTTGCGCAGGTCGGTCGAGAAACCAGTTGGAAGTCTGTATTTCTATACACTTTAGTCGGGTCTGCATCTGTTGGAAAATAGGTCAGTCAATTCGTCACAGTGAGTTCGTCACAGATTATCTACGGTTGAAACCATAGAATTAATTCATAGCCGGAACCATCTAACACCCTTCACCTCTGACTGTACTCTCACATAAAGCTAACACCCTTCACCTCTGACTGTACTCTCACATAAAGCTAACACCCTTCACTTCTGACTGTACTCTCACATAAAGCTAACACTCTTCACCTCTGACTGTACTCTCACATAAAGCTAACACCCTTCACCTCTGACTGTACTCTCACATAAAGCTCGTAGCTAAACCCGTCTAACACCCTTCACCTCTGACTGTACTCTCACATAAAGCTCATAGCTGAACCCGTCTAACACCCTTCACCTCTGACTGTACTCTCACATAAAGCTGACACCCTTCACCTCTGACTGTACTCTCACATAAAGCTAACACCCTTCACCTCTGACTGTACTCTCACATAAAGCTGACACCCTTCAGCTGACACCCTTCACCTCTGACTGTACTCTCACATAAAGCTCCCGTAGCTGAACCTCTGTCTAACACACCTTCACCTCTGACTGTACTCTCACATAAAGCTAACACCCTTCACCTCTGACTGTACTCTCACATAAAGCTCATAGCTGAACCCGTCTAACACCCTTCACCTCTGACTGTACTCTCACATAAAGCTGACACCCTTCACCTCTGACTGTACTCTCACATAAAGCTAACACCCTTCACCTCTGACTGTACTCTCACATAAAGCTCATAGCTGAACCCGTCTAACACCCTTCACCTCTGACTGTACTCTCACATAAAGCTAACACCCTTCACCTCTGACTGTACTCTCACATAAAGCTCATAGCTGAACCCGTCTAACACCATCACCTATGACTGTACTCTCACATAAAGCTAACGCCCTTCACCTCTGACTGTACTCTCACATAAAGCTCATAGCTGAACCCGTCTAACACCATCACCTCTGACTGTACTCTCACATAAAGCTAACACTCTTCACCTCTGACTCTACTCTCACATAAAGCTAACACCCTTCACCTCTGACTGTACTCTCACATAAAGCTCATAGCTGAACCCGTCTAACACCATCACCTCTGACTGTACTCTCACATAAAGCTAACACCCTTCACCTCTGACTGTACTCTCACATAAAGCTAACACTCTTCACCTCTCTACCGTACCTCTGACATACTCTCTAAAGCCCTTCACCTCTGACTGTACTCTCACATAAAGCTCATAGCTGAACCCGTCTAACACCATCACCTCTGACTGTACTCTCACATAAAGCTCATAAAGTCTAACACCCTTCACCTCTGACTGTACTCTCACATAAAGCTAACACTCTTCACCTCTGACTGTACTCTCACATAAAGCTAACACCCTTCACCTCTGACTGTACTCTCACATAAAGCTCATAGCTGAACCCGTCTAACACCCTTCACCTCTGACTGTACTCTCACATAAAGCTAACACCCTTCACCTCTGACTGTACTCTCACATAAAGCTAACATCCTTCACCTCTGACTGTACTCTCACATAAAGCTCATAGCTGAACCCGTCTAACACCCTTCACCTCTGACTGTACTCTCACATACAGCTAACGCCCTTCACCTCTGACTGTACTCTCACATAAAGCTAACATCCTTCACCTCTGACTGTCACTCTCACATGCTGAACCTGCTCATACACCTGACTGTAGACATACAGCTAAACGCCCTTCACCTCTGACTGTAATCTCACATGAAGCAAATACACATGACGTCCAACAGGTAGCTGTGGTCATCTACTGTACCCTAGCCGCTTGACTCCCGACATTTTGTCCAGAATAAACATAAAAGTACACGCAACTTCAGCGATATCATGCAGGTTCTCCAGGGTCCCACGTCAACATCACACCACAGTAGCCGTATCGCCGCGGGTACCCATGGCTGGCAGAATACAGTGTTTAATCCCAATAAAGCACGTTTACCCCACCCAAACACTCGCGCGATAGGCTCTCTGTATCCTTTATTTCCAATCC